ACAGAACTGGAAAAAACCACCATGAACTTCATATGGAACCAAAAGAGAGCCCGCATAGCCAAGTCAATTCTAAGCAAAAATAACACAGTGGGAGGCATCGCACTACCAGACTTCAAACTATACTACAAGGCTACAGTAATCAAAACAGCATGGTACTGGTACCAAAACAGAGATATAGACCAATGGAACAGAACAGAGGCATTGGAGGCAACACAACATATCTACAACCATACAATCTTTGATAAACCTGACAAAAACAAGCAATGGGGAAAGGATTCCCTGTTTAATAAATGGTGTTGGGAAAACTGGCTAGCCATGTGCAGAAAGCAGAAACTGGACGTCTTCCTGACACCTTACACCAAAATTAACTCCAGATGGATTAAAGACTTAAACATAAGACCTGGCACCATAAAACCCTAGAAGAAAATCTAGGCAAAACCATTCAGGACATAGGCGTAGGCAAGGACTTCATGACCAAAACACCAAAAGCATTGGCAACAAAAGCCAAAATAGACAAATGGGACCTAATCAAACTCCACAGCTTCTGCAAGGCAAAAGAAAGTCACTAGAGTGAATTGGCAACCAACAGAATGGGAAAAAATTTTTGCAGTTTACCCATCTGACAAAGGGCTGATATCCAGAATTTGCAAAGAACTCAAACAGATTTACAGGAAAAAGACAAACAAGCCCATTCAAAAATGGGCAAGGATATGAACAGACACTTTACAAAAGAAGACATATATGAGGCCAACAATCATATGAAAAAATGCTCATCGTCACTGGTCATCAGAGAGATGCAAATCAAAACCACACTGAGATACCATCTCACACCAGTTAGAATGGCGATCATTAAAAAATCTGGAGACAACAGATGCTGGAGAGGATGTGGAGAAAGAGGAACACTTTTACACTGTTGGTGGGAGTGTAAATTAGTTCAACCATTGTGGAAGACAGTGTGGCGATTCCTCAAGGCCTTAGAAATAGAAATTCCATTTGACCCAGCAATCCCATTACTGGGTATATGTCCAAAGGACTATAGATCGGTCTACTGTAAGGACACATGCACATGAATGTTCATTGCAGCACTGTTTACAATAGCAAAAATCTGGAACCAACCCAAATGCCCATCGATGATAGACTGGACTGGGAAAATGTGGCACATATACACCATGGAATATTATGCAGCAATCAAAAATGATGAGTTCGTGTCCTTTGTAGGGACATGGATGAATCTGGAGAACAACATTCTCAGCAAACTGACACATGAACAGAAAATGAAATACCACATATTCTCACTCATAGGCAGGAGAGGAAAAATGAGAACACATGGACATGGGGAAGGCAGTACTACACACTGGGGTCTATAGGGGGGAATAGGGAAGGGACAGCATGGGGGGAGCTGGGGAGGGATAGCCTGTGGAGAAATGCCAAATGTGGGTGAAGGGGAGAAAGGCAGCAAAACACACTGCCGTGTGTGTACCTATGCAACTATCTTGCACGTTCTGCACATGTACCCCAAAATCTAAAATGCAATAAAAAAAAAACAAAGAGCTGGGTTTTAGAGCCATCAGATTATCTGAGAGTTCCAGCAAAGGAAACAGATCCAAAGTCAGCAAAATTTATGACTGTCATCTAACTTGCAGTAAGGGCCAGGGATGGAGGGATGTTTGTCTTAATTTTTAGCAAACTCTTGGCATCTTCCCATTCTCACTTGTCACCAAAATCAAGGAAACAACTTGTGACAGAATTTTGGTCCTGTTTAGAAAAGGCATTAACTTCTCATCACGGCATTGTTCATCCTGGAAATCTGAGTTAACACAAGGCCAACTCTTAGAGACATCTGTCACATGGCCTCTCTTCTCTTCCTCACTTCTTCCTGTTCAGCTTATATTTGAGTTTTGTGTCTCTGGACCAAACCAAATATTTTTTACTCCCAGGAAGGTCTTCAACAACCAGGAACAATGACACCAACTGGTGATGTAATTCCCACTGAGAACTCTTTTTATCCCTTTCCAGCCAATGGAATTCTTGATGTTTTCCAGCCCTCTGTGGGTGTGAATGAGAAATTCTCATTCTCACATTATGTGAAATTATGCTTGGATTGCACACACTGTTATTTTTTCATCCGGCAGCAATTTAAAGGCTGAGGCTTACAATTAGCTATTTGATCTTAATCAGTATTGTCCTTGGCCATGGTACACTATGTCTTTCGGATACCACTTTTCCGGTGTTTGGATGGCCTATTTAATTAGACAGCTGAAACTGCCTGTGCCTAAGAGACAGGTCAACTTGGAAGTTTTTTTGAAAAGTCCTGGTAATTTTGTTTCTTCTTCAAAGTCAATGTGACACATTCCCGTTTGGTAGCGTACATGGGTAACCTATGTATGCGTTAGAAACTTTACCATCCTCTACTGAATCTGCTTGGTAGAATTAGTTTTCTTGGGGCTTCCCAAATCTCAGAGGATTTCTGCTTCAGCTCCTTGCGGGTGGGTAATACTCTAAACTACTTGGGGAAATGTTCCCTAGTGATATTCACAGCCAACTTCTCAAACTATAAGAAACATTTGCTAGGAAAAATGACCTGAGCTGAGCAATTCTGTTCTGTTTTGCCTTGGGTATTAAGTGAATGACCTTGCAGAAGAGTCCTGGGATGCTAAGTACATTTGAGTCCTAGGAGATTCCGCCCAGTTCCTGGCATACTGGAAGCATGTAGCAATTTTCATCAGCACCATCACTATTACCAAAAGCCTTGCTAGAAGAAGTTGTAGCTGGAAACTGCATGGCATGTAACACTCTCCTAAGGACTAGGAAAGGGCTAAGATTGGGATTGTTTTATAGCTTTGTCAAAAGGAGGGGAAAATATATACTGTATAGCCCTTCCTTATTTCCCCAGTGCCTGGTACCTAGTAGACACTCAAAAAATGTTTAGCTGGATAAATCTGCAAAATGCAGATGATCAAGGTATCTGCTACATGGGAACATTGAAAAAATAAATGGGCCACATCACATAAAGCACAGAGCCTGCCTATATTAAGGATAGAGAGAATGACTATTGTTTAAGAATACCTTGCATTTTGCAAAGAGGAAGCTTTCATTTTCTGACACAGGAGGAGGGACATGTAGTTAATGCCCCACAAGGGGAGGGATACGTGGTAAATGTCCCACAAGGCAGATGCCTTTAAGGCAAAGTGGGGCTCTCTAACCACTGCCAACAGGCTGGTGTCTGCCATGGGCCCCATAATGTCAGGGATGATTGTTTCCAACAGAAGTTAATTGTGCTATACTCTCGCTGTTCTTATATATTCTTTGCACCCTCCTCCCGCAACTCTCAGTAGGCAGTCCAGCCCAGTTCTAATGAATTACCTCTTAGCCCAGAACCAAAATACAATCTGCCTCCCACATTAAGTCTTGTCTCAGTGACCTCATCTGCCAAAGCAAAATCCAAAAGGGCCTTGGCAAGAAGCAGACAGGTACAAGCAAAGCCTTAGCAAAGCCATGGTGCATCTGGCCCTTTCAACAGCGATGAGTGCTCTCTTCCCAGCTCTTGCAGGTAGTCTTGCTGCAGTACTGTTTATGTGGCCTCACCTTGGTATTTGGCTAGAATGCTGTCCATGCTGAAGTAACTGCTGAGCAGACAAATGCACCCCTTATGTGACAAACCCCAAGCCTCTTGCGCTGCATGAGACATAGCAATGTTTTGGTCAAGAGGCCACAAGACCTATGGAGCTCAGTAGAGTTCGTACTAAGATTTCCCCTGGGCTAGGTAGACCCAAGCTCACCTAATAGGATTGATCTAAAAGAAACATTTTTCCCCAAGTTAAACACACACACACACACACACACACACACACACACGCACACACATACACACACACACACACACCTTGGGAACCATACAAGGGAAGTTTCTACTATGCTCAGTGACAGCCTTTGTTTTTTGGCTCTAAATCCAAATGGGAAGGCATCCCTCTGAATATACCAAGGAGGACATCAGAGACTCATTTCATATTAGGGAGGGTGAGTAGATGAGAGACCCAGGTAATGTGTAAGAAGAAAGTGGCCTACTAGCTAATGGTCTTCCTGGGCTCCTCCACTCTCCAAAGGCTCTGGGCTATCAAGTGCATTGGGTTAAAGCCATGGATTCCTTGGGATTGTTCTCCATGGAATTAGCCCTATACCCTTCAAACCCTCTCAAGACCGATTGGTCCTTTTTTTTCTCCCTGTCCCTTTCACTGTTACTCTGGAGTCTTATCTCCAAAATGACCACCAGGGGACTGATACAGCCCACCCTAATGAGTGACTACTAAAACCCCATGAGAAAAAGGGATGCTGACCAGATAACATGATGCTTTGAGCAATCTGCTCTGAAGTGTCCTAATCTAGTTCCTCCCCAACATTTCTCTATTTATCATTTCTAACAGCCCCCCGACCCCTTGAGGTTGTCCTCTTGAATGAAGACAATTCAACATGCCTAATGTGAGTGTCTTTTCCTGGGATCCCATATTTCTTTATGACAATGACACTGGCAGCACCTACTTCTTTTAAAACCAGATCTTTCTTGCCTGTATGCTGGTACAGTGGTAGCAATATTTTACGTTTAGCAGTGGTTTGGGGAGGTTTGCAAAGGAATCTTAGAAAGTCTTGGGAGAGTTTTCTTAAACCCTGGGACTTTCAGAAAGTTATGTCACAATTGTCTAGATGGTAGAAACTAGTGTTGTGGCCCTAGTCCCCTATCCAGGTAATCCTCTACTTTCTGCCACACTTTTAAATGGTCTTAATGTGGAATCGGAAACAGTGGAATGGCTCCTATTACTCAACTCAGTGCCTTATATGGATTATCTCATTCCCTCCCTGCAAACACCTTGAGAGGTATTTGGTGTTATTTTTCTGGAATTTATAAATGGGAAAACTGAGGTTCATAGCAGCTCAATGACTCACTCAAGGCTGCCTGACTAGTTAATTGAAGACTCAAGGTCAAACCACGGTTTTTCTGGCCACAGATCCCAAGCTCTTCACCCTGGGGCGTACCATCTCACAATGGACGAAGATACACCTGTCTTCCATGTGTTAAGGATAAGAGAGGACTTAGAACAGTGAAAAAGGCAGTAAGTAATTCCATTTTTAAATTCCTCCCCCCTCAGAGATTTCAAAATCATTTGCAATAATTCCACCTAGACTGCAGTATATATATATATATCTTTCTGTGATGGAAGAGATGATAGTTTACCCACGAGGGGTCTCAGCACATTTTCACTGCGTTGGTGTTCATGTTTTCATGAAAACCCCCAAGTTTCTAATTGCTTATTCTGATGAGAAGTGCGGGTCTCTCCTTTGAAGCTAAAGCATAAAGTGTGCCTCTCAGCCTGGGCTATTTTCTTCCCAGGCCTCAGGACAGGCCAGTGGGAACCTTCTGAGACTCCAAAACCCAAATGAATCCAGATTCACCATTTTTCTTTAATTGGTGGAGGCTGATTTGTTTTGTTCCAAGGCGCGTCAGAGCCCGCAGTGTGAGCATTGTGCCCCAAGAGTTAGCCCGTTTCATCGTCCTTCATTAGGATGCAGGGGGAAGCCCAGGCCCGTCAACTGGGCCAGGGGAACAAAGGCAACATGGAAATTAGAGCAGGACGATGAATCCCTTGCTCTCCACTTTTTCAAAACAAGACTCTGACCATTTACACGAGGACCCATTTTGTCGTTGTGTTCCATACAAAGAAACAGGAAACTTCAGAGGGAAGAAGGAGCCCCGGTTTCCTACACGGTGGCCCACGGAGGCTGGAGGTTGCTGACAGTTTTGGCAAGAGGCTAGCTTGGCCTCAAGGCAGAGGAGGAGCTGTTCCCCTTGTTATGCTTCCGAGGAGGTCACCCAGGCACTGGGGGATGTTTTTCCTCCTTGGGAAGCAATCTAGGGCAGGTGAGGCCTGGGGCGCAGCCCTTGAAGACTGTCCCATCAGGGGCTGTCACATCTTCTTGACCGCTGGAACTAGGCCAAATCTCACCAATTATTTTGAGTTCTTTCTCTCCTATCCCACAAAACTCCGAAGGAGACATTTCTCCCCAGACCAGTGGAATTCCTTTGAAAATAAATTCATTTCCAACTTGACAAGGATAGATCCTAGTTTCTGAAATGCAGGCCCCAAGTCTTATTTTGATGACAGGTATTGATAATGAATGGCTCATCTTCTAAATTGCCGAAGGCTTTTAATGACCACAGTAGCTCTCAAAATCAAATTACATGTACCCTTTGAACAAACAGTTCAGCATCTACGAATTTATCTTACAAAAAAATTTCTATGTGTGAACAAATAAATATTTGTAAGGATATTCCTTGCAGTGCTTGTCATAATAGAAAATATTAAAAGTAATATCAAGTCCATCTTAAGGATTTGGATGAATATATAATTATATTAATACGTCCATCCATACAATGAATATTCAGCGAGCAATCATTTTTTTAAATCAGTATACTAACATGGACTGATTTCAAAACAATACCTGCAACATGGGCATTGAAAATAAATTGAAAAATTGTGTGAAAACTTAATTCACTTTTGTTTAAAACAAGGTTTCTCAACCTTGGCACTATTGATCTTTGGGTCAGATAACTGTTGTGGGGCCTGTTCTGTGCCTTGTAGGATGTTCAGCAGCATCCCTGGCCTCTACCCACTAGATGCCAGCAGCACACCACCTCACTCCTACAATTATCACAACCAACACTGTTTCTAGACATTGCCAAATGCTCCCTGTGGGTAGAGATGGAGAGGAAAACCACCCCTGGTTGAGAACCACTGGTCTTAAATAATGACACATAGATCACTGAGGTTTGCACACCATAGAATAAAAGTCTAGAAGAATATCTATCCATGAAGTTTCTTACAATGCTTCCATTGGGAGCCAGGATTGTCCAGGAAAAAAACAATGTTCTCGTCTGGGCGCGGTGGCTCAAGCCTGCAATCCCAGCACTTTGGGAGGCCGAGGTGGGTGGATCACGAGGTCAAGAGATTGAGACCGTCCTGGTCAACATGGTGAAACCCTGTCTCTACTAAAAATACAAAAAATTAGCTGGGCACGGTGGCGCGTACCTGTAATCCCAGCTCCTCAGGAGGCTGAGGAAGGAGAATTGCCTGAACCCAGGAGGCGGAGGTTGCGGTGAGTCGAGATCGCGCCATTGCACTCCAGCCTGGGTAACAAATGCGAAATTCCGTCTCAAAAAACAAAAACAAAAACAAAAAAAACCAAGGTTCTCTTTTTACTCTATATATCTCTGTACTGTTTAGTTTTTTGACATATATTTCTACAATTAAGTACAAAATCTACTTCTATTCCATGCCACTCACAGACATACACATACATAAGGAAGATAAAGATGATTGCTTCTATCAAGAGACCATACATCAGAACTCTCTTTGGAAAAGAGAAACAGATGAGCTTTACCTGGGAAGCGAAGTCCTTCAAGAGGACTCACTAATAGGACATGAGGTAACCAGAGTTTACCAGTCAATCATCTGGAGTCTCACCAAGGCACACAGCAAGTGCCACGTCTTAGAGATTGCAAACTAAGTGGGAAATGTGAAATTATGGCCTCTGGTTTTGAATTTGATGGGGACTAATGTCTTGCATTTTCTCCTTCAAATCACTCATCTGCAAAACTGAGCATCTACCTTTCCACAAAGACTTGAAGAGAGAAATCATGAAAGCAGCACCTATGAAACGGCTTACCCTCATCAGATCTGGCACTGCATAATTGAAATGATTCTCGTTAATATTGATTTTGGTGCTTTTAAAGCTATTTTTTTAAAAAGAGCCTAGTCTAATTTGGGCACTTCAGAGTTTGGGGAATCCCAGATGCTTGGGTTTCTTCCTAATTTCGAAATAATTCCCTCCAGGATTTTTTTAGTTTGTTGGTATCCTCATGAGGAAAACAAGGAAACAAATCTTTTCCCTCTTTTTTGCTTTTCTAACTGATAGAGTGCTCTGGAAAAATTGCTAAGGTTTACTCATAAATTATCATGTAAACTGCCATAGCCAGTTTTTGTGATGTGTCCCCCACTGAGTTAGTTAAAACTCATGCCGAATTTCCTAGAAGGAAAAACAAACCTGGATCTTGTAGAAAACAGACAAACAAGAAACATATAGTCTCCCCACATTGATATCAGTAAATGACATATCAGATATCGACCAGTAACACCTTCACCTAGCTATAACTACATGGTACTAAAAGAATTATGGCTTTTGAACAATATTTTGAAAACCAGCAAGGGAGAATTTTCCTGCCCATCTATGCTGATGCTTTAAAGCCATTTGAGACAGTTTGTGAATTGTGTTATGAATCAGTTCATAGTGACTTATTTTACATTCCTTTTTCATTATGTTTCTTTTTTTCTTGGTGGAATAACAATGCTGAGAAATCTGTTTTGACTCACAAGCTACTCATGAATATTGTAACCATAACTTTTGGACCAATTTATTTTTCTTTCCTAATTTGACTCAGCTTCCTAAAGGCATTTTGGTTTTATCTGGGGATATTTTACTTCTTTCCAATTTTACTTTTGTTTATCAAAGCACTGTATAGTTCATTCATCAAGAAATTAAGCCTTCCCTTTTTTCATTTCCTCCTCTGAATCTAAAGAGTAAAGCTCAAGATTTGCCATTGTCAAGAATCTAGAGTCACTACACACCAATTCTTGAAGCCAAGAGAATGCAGCCTTTCTCTGCTCTGCCTTGCACACAACACAGCAGGTTCAAATGAGGCAAGAACCACAAAGCAGAACATCATTTCCTATGCCTCTAGCACGGGCATGCTCAAGTCAGCTGTGCCAAGCCAGAGCAAGGATGCTTTCAGTAGAAATCAGTGGTACACACAGGGAACCACTATGGAAACCATGGTTTCCATTTGCATTGTTTGCAAGAAAACATTAGTGAAAATTAATTCAAGACATGTACAAACTTTAGAGAATATAGCCAGACCAGGCTGTTAGATGACCAACAGAGTACTTGTGCATACTAGTTTAGAAGTGACCATAGTAGACACTGTTGGTGCTGTGACCTCAGGTCTATTTTCAGTTTCTGTGGGCCCTTTTCCCTGCCCCATCCTATGGTATTTTACTTCCAATGGCCCGTACCTGTGACTCTTTCAGGGAACTGCTCAGGGGCTACTGGAACCACTTTGCCTATATGCATAGAAAGCCATGTGTGCCCAGGGTTTACGTCTTCCAGTCCCCCAGGGCAGCCTATAGCCAATGACTGATTTCTGTGAGTATACGAAAGCCCAGCTCCCTTGCCTTAAAGCTAGGACATTACTCTAAGGAGTAATGCACATTCCAGATCTCATGAAAAGTTAACACTGAGGTTGGTATTTTGCCTAAAATAGCACCCCTACTTGGCCTCCTTCCCTTCCCAAGCCAGCTTCCCACTCCCCTATCAGCTTCTCTAGGGAGCCTGTCCTTAACACTTCACTTATGTACGCATTCTTACCTCACAATCTGCTTTGGGAAAACCTACCTAGGACACTATCTGTCCTCCTTTGCTCTCTCCCAAATTCTTGTTCTTATGCACATGATGATGGCTTTCATCTGTGACACCTGTTTTTGATTTGGTAACCAAGGCCTTATATATGACACGTGTTAAAACATGAACATATAGTTTGCCATCCAATTCAAGACACTTTGCCCAAGAAAGAAGATGTTATTGATAATTATGCTCAGCAAAATGTATCAACTGAAAGTATCCCTGAAAAACTGGAGCGCATGGTCACCCTACATATCTACCACCCTCATTGCAGGGCTTTAAGTTGTGCAATAACTCACATTGGAGCCTGTGAATGGTGCCTGGAGTATAAATCTAAAATACAGATATTAGAATGAACAGGGATACAGACTGAGCATGGGAAAGTTTGTTGACGTTGTCTCCGTGTTTTTGAGCTCTGAATATTACTGGAAGCCATTGTATCTTTCGAAGAGGTATTTGCAGCAAGTGAGGGTTGGAGATGCCAATGGAAAAACCTAAGAAATTGTAGACAACCTGACTCAGAAGCAGCCATGCCCTCCTGAGAACCACTCACTGGAAGTCACTACACTGTGCACCATCTTGGACAGACCATCCTAGACATCAAGAAACAGTAGGTCCTGCAAGCTCTTAAAATCCTTCCACACCAGCTCCATGTAACACCTTAACTCCCACTTAGGAAGCATACTCACGATTTTCACAGTGCTGCCCAGTATAGCCTGCCAAGCAGGCACACTTGTAAGATCCAGCCTTGTCAAGGACACATGTGCCGTCATGGAAACAAGGGGATGAGGAGCATGCTGTAAGAGAAAAGGCATCCCTCAGTGCCACTGTGCATTGAGTCGATGTCTTCAAGCCCAGAGTCTTGACTGAAGTCTTTTAATTGCTTATTAAAGTCTTCTTGCAATGTTTTTTATTCCTTTCACTGAATTCATGTTATGATTATTTGAAAATATGTAAAACAGATACTCATTAAATATCAAATGTTGGTGACATTATTTGATTTTTTGAGGGCCCCAGAAGCATGCTCAACAGTCCTGTAGTCTGAAGACCACAAGGCAATGCAGACAAGAACATTAACCTGGTGAAAGTAGAACGGTACTTGTATCTCTCCCGTGGGGGTTTCAGTGGACAGAGATATCCTTGGATAGCTGAAGACCATCTTTTTTCAAATAAAAGCTCAGCATCCTGGGTACTGGGGCAATGTAACTGGAAGATAATCTTTATGACGCTGTTGAATGTATACTCAATAATTTCCAAACCTACATTCTGTACTCATCATTCCCTTGAGATGCTGATAGTCTTTTGATGCCTATTTTATAGACAGCAAGTAGAGTATAAGGTTATGCCTAGGTTGGGCAGCTGTTGGGCTATGGGATCCAATATGTTAGGGAAATGTTGCTGACATTCAATGCTAATTAACCAGATTTCTTTACCGGGGAACTTCTCAGTTCAATGCCCTAATATACATTGTGAGTTTCCTAATATACATTGTGAATTTCAAGCTTATTTGACCTCAGAGCCTGCATTTTACAGGGCATCCTGGGGACTATTTTTCTTAGAAAAGCCTTTGAGAAACACTCATCTTTGTGTTAACCATCAATGCTACGTTCATTTATCCCACTGTAGAAGTATATCCCTTGGCTCAGTTCAACAAATCTGTATTGCGTACTTGCTCTGTAGAAGGCACAGGAGAAATACAAAGATGAACAGGACATCCCATTTACCAGATTAAAGCTACATGAAGAAAAGCATATAACGACTATGACCTAAAGCATTATACAGTTAGTGTATTATGAAGAAAGAAGAGACGATGAAACAAGGGCAAAGTCATAGCTCGCTGGACAAGAGAAAAGATTTAGGAGAGGAGGAAGAATGTAGTCAGGACTGTGAAGAATGGGTTTTGATGTGCTGGTTGCAACCAGGTGACTTTCCTGAGACTTTCGTGTCATACCCTATGAATAAGAAAGCCTTAATAATCAGAATGTCATTACAAGTTCTCGCCCTCAAGTGAACAAACAGGGATGTTTGAAAAATGGGAAGTGGTACTGTTTGACTGTATTGATAAAACGCAGGCTGGTATTCCCAAAGTTCTCCAGGGGAGGTTGAGGAGGTCATTTCAGAGGAGGAAGACGTTCTCCTGACCCTTCCTCAGTCCCAGAGTCACGGACTAGACAGCCACTGCTACCCCTACCTGGCGTGCCAACTGTCCTAAGTGCCCACAGATGCATCTCACATGGGACCTTGCTCAGCCTAAGCCTGCAGGGTGTCACCAAGGAATGAGGATTCAGCCACAGACTGATTACACCACAGCAGCAAAGCATCAGAATTCCCAGGCCCTGCACAGTGCCATAGGGTGCTGGCATGGGTGGAGGCAGACACAGAGACTGTAAAGAGCTCCTGCTGAGAGCTCCTGTAGGCAGCATCCTAAAAGAGGGCAGACTGGGGAGCAGGGTGTGCTGGCCTTGCTGAACAGACAGGACCGAAGAAACACTGATTATTCAGCGCTCCCACCTTCTTTCCTGAGACTTTCACGTCGTTCACTATGAATAAGGAAGCCTTAATGATCAGGATGCCGTTATAACTTCTTTTCCAATTCAGTTTTTTTAAAAATCAAACTTCAAGCCTGTGTTTATTTTGTAAAACCTGATGTGATTCGATCTCAGGACGATGACTGCGAGGTGATTCCTCAGGACTGAGCATTTGTGTTCAGTTTGCTCAAACCCTAATCTCATCACAGCAAGAGTTACAGTCAGGCTTAGAGTTGCTCAAGTCAATGACCTTTCCTATTGTGGTCTTTTAATATCTACTTTGTAGATGGCAAGTGGAGGGTAAGGGTACGCCTAGGGTTGGGCAGCCCTTGAGCTCTTACTATGTACCAGACTCTGCTGAGCACTTCATTTGTTCTGTCTCTCAGAGCCTCCTGAATGGAGCAGGATCTAATGTTACTCCCTTATCACTGATTAGGAAACTGAGGCCCGGAGGGGTAGAAGAACTTACCCAAGGTCGCATAGCTTGATCTGTCAGGGATCTAAAGCCTATTTGTACCCAAGCTGTTCGGCTCTAGAGCTCACACAAGGGGTCCTCTCTTGTGTGAGCTCTAGAGCCGAACAGCTTGGGTACTAATCCCTGGTTCTGCCCCTATAGCTGTGTGACCTCCAATAAGTTATTCAGCTTCTCTGTGCTTTAGCCACCACATTTCCATAAGGGAGATAATTCCTAGCTCTGATTCTGCGTGAGCTTTTCTGAAATATACCTTGGTTTTTGTTTTTTCTCAGTGTGTAGGCTGTTTCTGAGAACACAGCCTGCTAGTTTTAATAAGGCTGAGAGGGAGAAAGGGACACGGAAAGGAGATGTTTGTCTGGATCAAGCCACAAAACGCCAAATTTGTCTCCTTGGCCTTTACCTGTGATCTCCTCAAAAATGGCATGGAAGCCATCGAAATTCTTGGAGCCATCGGAATGGAAGAGGACGTGGAGTGAGGATCCCGTGCTCTGGACAGGAGCTGGCCGCTCATTGCCACAGACACGCTTGATGATCTGGCTGTCGCGGTTGTCTCCATCACGAACCTCAACATAGTCATACTGGCACATGTAGTCAAACTCCAGGCTCAACATGACAAACCTGTGGGCGGACAGGGTGATGGAGGGAAAGACGTGGGCCCCGGACAGTCCTGAGACCACTGGGAATGTTAAAGGCCAGAGGAGGAACAGGCCTGAGGAACAGATGGTGCCACTGGTCTGATCTGATAGGAAAATGGTCTTCAGAGGTTGATGAATTTCTCTTAGCAGAGGAGTATGTATTTGTGCACTGTTTGCATGTATGTGCACGTGCAAGTGCATGCCCAGGTGGAGCGAGGTGCCATAATCCATGCAGAGAACCTTTACACGTGTTGGTCTCTTTTCCAGGGCCATCGTTCCTCCCAGTCTGCATAGCTGGTTCCTTCCTATCCTCAGGCCTAAGCTTAAATATTCTCTCTTCAAAGAGGCTTCCCTGACCACTCTTTCCAAAGAAGATCTCCTGTTTTTCTTATAATATAGACATAAAGTTTAGCTTCTTATATTTATCTCCTTGACTTTTTGTGTGTGTATGTGTGGCCTGTCTTCTCCACTAGCCTGCAAGTTACTTGAAGTCAGGGAGGGACACCTGTCTCGTTCCATGGTTTTTACAGTGTCCAGCACAGTGTCTGGCCTGTGGCGATGCTACAGATATTGCCGAATATATGACCGAATGGGTATTTTATTGCACTTTTATAGTTGGAGAACGAAACAAAGCTCATGTTGTTTTGCAAGACTAAGTAAAGGAAAAAACAACAAACCTCTGCACACTCTTCTGTTTGACGGAAGAATCAGAAGCTAGTTATCTTCTAGGTGACAATAATCCTCACCCAAAGATTAGAGAAAGTAGCACCAAGTCAGAATTTCAGGGGTTACATGCTTGAAAACATGGAGATACACCAGATTGGAAACACAGAAGATGACGTCAAGCCCAATTCCAAGAGATGAGAAAAGAAGCAGCCACATCCAAGGGCAAGAGAGGCAGAAGCGTTTTTCAAGGATTCCCAAGGGAATACCTATCAAGTTCACAAAATGTGTATCTGTATCTTCCCCTCCACACTCTGGAGAAAAAATAGAAATAGACAGGCTCATAACTGCTGCCTGAAATGTTGGGAGTAGGGATATTTCTGCCACATATAGTAAAAACCCAACATGCCAGCATCAGGGAACACTGGAATATAGTGACAATCAGCACATTGATTTTAAGTGTTCTAAAGGGTACTACTAACAAAGTAATCCAATAACCGAGTTTCATCAGTGTTTACTTCACAGAAGGTTGATCACAGAGCTTTTGGGGTGTAAGTCCTGGGAATCGCATTTCGGACAGCATGCTCTGACATCTAAGAGGACACGTGATTTCCTATCCAGATGCCACCACTTGCTCACTGTGCATCTTGAGGAATCCGTTCCTTCTCTTGGCCCTGGTATCTTTGTCTGCAGAGTAAGGAGGAGGCTACCACGTCACAGAAACCACAGCTTTTTCTGAAGCTGAGGAGACATTGCAACTCTTTACGTTCATGCATTCATTTGTCCATTTGTTCACTTACTGAGCACATATTTGTGGAGGCCAGCTCTGTACCAGACACTGTCCTAGGTGCTGTCAGCATAGCAGTGCCCCAACTACTCACTAGGCACGTGCCAGCCCTCATGGAGATTAATTCTGGGTCAGAGGATAGATAATAAGGAAGGAGACTGAAAAAACAATGTAATTTTAGATTGCTGAGTGCTGTGAATCCAATTAACCTGGTAAGAGCATAAAAAGTGACTAAGGTGTTAAGTTTCTAACACAATGTGGTCAAAGAAGCCCCATCTGAGGATGTGATAGCTGGCAGAGGTTTGAATGATGCAGTAGAGCCAGCCATGTGAAGGTCATGGGGCAGAGTGGTCCAGGCAGGGGAATCTGTAAGTCCAAAGGCCCTGGGGCAATGATGAGGTTGGCATGTTCCAGGAACTGAAAGGAAGCCAGGGATGCTACAAGGTGGTGAATGAGGGGGAGAGTAATAAGATCCGAGGCCAGCAAGGAGAGCCTGTGACAGATCCTGTGTGGGGAGCAGTCTAGATTTTATTCCAAGTCTATAGGAAGACACTGAAAGGTTTCAACAAGAGAATAATGTTGGATTCAGATTTTGAAGGCTCCCTGTAGCCACTCTGTAGAAATGAGATGGCAGAGCTGGCAGGAGTGGAAGCCAGAAAGCCAGTTAGGAGGTCATGTCAGAATTCCAAACGGAGATGGCGGTGGCTCGAAGTAGAATGGTGACAGTGGTGACAGAGAGACATGGATGGACTATTTTTCGAGTAGGAGTTTGTGGTGATCTGGTGGCAGGTGATGGAAAAGGGGCATCGGAGACACCTGCCGGGCTTTGGGCCAAACATCATGCCTGTGCTTCCCAGTGTTTCCATCATTTTTATTATCCCTGGCCAGGTGCTCCAGACTTCACTAGAGGAGAAGAAATCCACACATTTCCATGTCTCCCTAAGGCCCTTTCCCGGGCAGCTAATAGGCTTCTCAATCCTTCACTGTTTTGCTATTTTAGAATTTCCTTTTGCATCTTGGACTTTGGAGAAGCTCCTCAGAGGCCCAGAGGGGACCATTTGTCTTGGTCCCTGAGCTGCTGCAATATTAATGTGCAGCACTTAACACCTATGTTTATTATCCCTGCAGACCCAGGCTTGAGCCCACTGGGCAGAATAGAGTGGTTCACCTCTTGTTCCTTGAGCCAGGCTTCCTCTAGGAATCAATGAGACTCACTCTCAACCCCAGGTCCTCAGGGAGTGGAAACACAAGCTGTCAAGCACTAGTTTTGAAGAGGAGGATTGAGAAGGGGACCTGTTTTGTTGGATCTTTCTAATTCAGGGTACCAGGTTGCCCTTCCTGGAGGACAAACAGATATTCAAGGAGCCAGTAGCATTACCTGTGTCCATTTATCCACCAAGAAAATACTTAGTGAAAGCCTGTGCCCTAGAGGATCAGGGATTTGAAATCTGTTCACTTTCACCACTGAGTTAAAATGAGAAGAGCTAAATGGACAATGACCCTAGCCATCCTAGGGGTGAGTGAGCCGCTTTCCCGTTAGAGAGGAAAAGGGGAGGTGTTTTCCAGGAGAGAGAAGATACACTGGAGTCAGAAAGCAGTTCTTCCGGCATTTATTCATGCAACAAGTATTTATCATGCAACTATAGTGTGCCATAAACTGTTCCAGCACTAGGATGCAGTCATGAACAGTTCTTACAAAACAGGACCCTCGTGTAGCATGAGTTACAATAAAACAGGGTCTATACTTTGGACTATAGCATAAACTAACCATTTGCGAGGGCCCTAAAAGCACCATAAAAAGAAATGACTCTTCGTCCACACAGGTGAGAGAGTCAGTTTATTTGTTGTGGGATGTTTGCTTTTTTCCGAGAGCCCCAATTAAAGGAGCTGTGACAAGCATCACCTCCAATCTAAAGCATAATTCTTTGAAAGTTAGGCCTGTGCCTTTTACTTCTTTACATCCCTCCATAGGAACCAGCGCAGTCCTGAGTGAGGATGAAACACTGTTTAAGATGTGTGCATGGGTAGATTGCTCTCAGTATTTTGCTTTGTTGGTGTTATTCCTGGGTCAAAACCATCTGAGCCCCACAGTTCTAAGGCGATGATGACAAGCATTTAGTTGGCTGTAGTTCCAGCCTGGTCTTAGCCCAGAGACTCTCAGAGTGGTAAAGAGAAAGCCTCCAATATACAAAGGTCCAAAGGATCCCAGTGACCAAGGGCCTTCCATCCCATTGCCATGTCCTTATAACCTCAGACTCCCGAATTCTGGCCCCAGCTCCTTACCTTAGTTGGATGATAAACCCAGGTTTAGCATGAATGGTCCATTCGCAGTGAGCATTTAGGGGATAGCTTTCCAACAAAATCTGACCCTTTGGGGCTCGCAGAACCTGGCCGCATCCTAAGAAGAGAAGAAAAGATTGGGTCATAAAAACGGAAGTCAATAGGAAAGAGCCTGGAGAAGGTCTCAATGAGATTTTCAGTACGTGCCCCACCCCTGAGAACAGGATGAATAAGGAAAAGGAAGAAGGACATTAATATTTCTCAAGCAGCTGGCAACATGCTAGGTAATTTACATAGATTAATTCATTTAATCCACCCAACAGCTTGGGAAGGGAAGTGGTGTCCTCACAATTTTCCAGCTGGGAAAACAGATAGATAATCAGAGATAGACAAACAGGTAGATAATAAATAGATAGATAATCAAAGAGTTAATAAATAACTTGTCTAGCCACTAAATGACAAAGAAAAGACTCAAACCTAACTGTGTTTGGATATAAAGTTCAAGCCACCCTATCATCCTTCCTCTCCAGGCCTGACAAATGCCAGCCACCTACCCCTATCTCAAAAGGCTCAGAAAGTAGACCCTCCCCATAGCTCTACTCTCTTCCCTCTCCCATTCCAGGCAGGAAATCTATGCATTAATTTATTCTGTGAGCAGTCATGTAATAAATACCTCTTTAATGCATGACAGTGGAAAGGAGAGATTATCTCCAAACACTTGGACCGAATTGATAATTTTCTCATTTTTTTTCTTGCTCCCAACCCCTTTTGTTCAAATAAACTCTTTATCAAGATCACCAATACAACTAAATGTATCAAAAAGGGGCTCCTGGTTAAAGCAGAAGCAGGGGCCCAAAACCCTCTACCCCACCCTTACCTAGTCTGTTGAGTTACCTCCAAGGAATCCCTAAGATTGGAAAAACACTGGACTAAATGGTCTTTACATTATATCATGTTTTCTAGCGTGACGATAAGCACGGTATAGAAGATGCACTATATTTTTGTATCCAAAAAATTTGGGGAAAACGTCTTGAATTGGTTTTATGGAAAAATTACCTGGATCATGAAATAAATGATATCCTCTACATGAGGGTGGCATACTATGATCCTTGGGTCAAATACAGCCCACTGCTTGCTTTTGTAAATAAAGTCTTATTGAAACACAGCAACACCCATCCATTTATGTATTGCCTATGGCTGTTTTTGGACTATCATGGCAGAGTTAAGTAATTGTAGCAAGAGGCAGCCCCATAAAAATGAAAATAGTTACTATCTTGCTGTTCACAGAAAAAGTTTACCATCCCTATTTCTATACAGAAATCCAGATTGCCATTTTAAACTGGATACATAGTTATATACAATAACTCCCCAAAGTATAAAAATTCATAACTAAAAATGAAAATATTATCAGTGGATACTGCACCATGGCAAGATGACAGTAGCAATATTTCCAGTGTTAGGAAAAGAGTCCAAACTCCACTTTTGACAAAGCTATGAGGTCTGAGGCTTATGACTTTTGTGAAAACTACTGCTAGGTCATACAATCTATCTCTTCACTAAGATCTTAACTGCTGCTGTCCTGTGCCAACAATGGGAAGCATCTTCCACTATTTTCCACTTGGGACTCCTGTCTATACCCAACCTCCATCATCTCTCTCTGTAATCTCATTCCTCCTTGATCTCCTGGTGATATGGTTTGGCTGTGTCCCCACCCAAGTCTCATCTTGAATTGTAGCTCCCATAATTCCCACATGTCATAGGAGGAACCTAGCAGGAGGTAACTGACTCATGGGAACGGTTACCCTCATGCTGTTCTTGTGATAGTGAGTTTTCATGAGATCTGATGGTTTTAGAAGGGGTTTCCCACCTTCTCTTGGTACTTCTCTCTCCTTCTCTTACAATCTCAGCAGAAGGGGAAGCAAACACATGTGAAGAAGGATGTGTTTGCTTCCCCTTCTGCTGAGATTGTAAGTTCTCCCTGAGACCCCTCCAGCCTGGAACTGTGAGTCAATTAAATCTCTTTGCTTTATAAATTACCCAGCTTCAGATATTTCTACATAGCAGAATGAAAACAAACTAATACACCTGCCACTCACCCTTGTCCCCCAACATTCTATTGTCCACCCAGCCTCCAAAGCCACCTTTTAAATAAATGAATCAGATCACATCATCCTCTTGATTCAAGCCCTCCAACAGTTCTCCACTGTACAAACACCTTCCTAGGACATGTGCAGCCCTGCCTTGCTGGCTGCCTACATCCACTCTCCTCCCAGTCTCACATGCTACTCATCTGCTTGTCCATACTGCCCCAGATGCAGCCTGCTTTCTGTGCCCAACTCTAGCCCTTCTACCTGCTGTTTCCCAAACCCAGAAGGTTCATCTTCTTCTATATCTCTTTCCTGTAAGAGTTAAGCTTACAGGATGGCACCACTGCACTCCAACCTGGATGACAGACCAAGACTTCATTTCAAAAAATATAATAATGGAAATAATAAGCTCGACTGTCACTTCTTCAAAGAGGCCTTCCCTGCCATCCAGCTAAAATAGGCCCTTCGAATTCTATGGTCAGTACGGTCACTCTGTTTTGTTTTCCTCATAATACACATGCCTATTTGAGATTATCCCCGTTACCTGCTTACCGCCTTTGATAGAGCTCGGGTCTTTTCTAGCTTGTGCACCTAGAATAGTAACTGGCATATAACAGGTGCTCAACGCATATTTGTTGAATAAATGGATTATGATATGATTATAGCCCAGGCACTAAAGCTTTGCACTTTCTCATTTAATCTTCATAAGAAACCAACGAGAACAACATTCATCTCCCCATTTTCTAGATGTGAAACATTAAAGGTGGGGAAGTTAAATGATTTCCCTAAACCCAGATGCCAGGAAGTTAGAAGACTGTAAATCATCGTCCTCACGGTAAAGCAGCGGTTAAGAATAGCGACTGCAGAATCTGACTGCCCTTGGTTTGAAACTCAGCTTGATGTTCCCTAGCCGTGCAGCCTTGAGCAAGTTACTTCCTCCGTCAGAACCTCAGTCCACTTGAGTCAAATATGAATAGAAGTGGCAGCTACTGCATGTGGTTTTGTGAGGCTTAAAGTAAATTGTGCATGGAAAACTCTTCGCAGGAAAATTAGTAAATGTTAACTGTTTATACTCGGCGGCAGAGCAGAGATTCGACCTTGGATCTGTTTAGTATCAACACTGAGTCTTTGCTGGCATGTTAAACTGTCTTAGGGGCATTCTGACCCAGTCCTCTCCCACTCCATTTTAAAATGGCAGAATTTTTCCACCCCTAAGAAAGTTACATGGAATCTTTGCCCGCTCCCGTTTTGAAATGCGTGTTCCTTCTTCCTGCACACCTCACACTCCTCATCGCCCCCTTCTACCCATCTGCTGCTGGGCTACGGAAATGATATGCGGGGGTGTGAGAGACAACAAAAGAAGCCTTCCTGCACAGCCCCCGCCCCTCAGGGACTGGCAGCTTCCCAGCCTGCAAGGTGTTAAATCCCAGCTCCCTCAGCAAACCTCCTGCTGGGCACCCTAAGTTAGAACCAGAAGCAAACGCTGCCAGCCTGCTCCCAGTTTCTTCTCTCCATATGGAAGCTGGATTTAGACAGCTGCGCCTCAGGCCCCCCCCCAAATCCAAGGGAAGGCAGTGCTCATCCCCATTTAGGCTTCCTTGGCACATCCATTCGGGCTTTGGTCAGCTCCAGGGTCTCTTGCAGCCTCTGGAGGGCTTAGTCCCCATCCTCACCCAGGTGCCCGATCCCTGACCACGTGACATGCTGGACCACCTGTTCCTGCAGGCTCACGGGCTGTCCTTCAGAAGTAGCCAGGATTCTGAACACATGCAACATCTCCATTCTTCTTAATGAGGTTCCTTTTCACTCTGAAGGGGAGGGCAGAGTTGGCCCCAAGATGGGGAACAACTTCCAACCAACCAGAGACAAAGGGGCCACTTCTCGGAAATGTGTTTGGAAGAAGGAATATTAGGGAAAGATCAAGAGGAGGAGGGAGCTGCACTCCCTCCCCACATCACGGAATTCCTTCAATTCCCTCTCCACTCTTGCCTCTACTTGGAGAGCTGGTGAGCCTGGGTGCAGGGACAGCCTGACTACACCTCTCTGTCCAGGGCAGAACAGTGAACACAGCTGAGTGTCCCTGCCAAGGAAGTATCGCTGGCCAACCTAGCAGGTGGTCCTGAGTCTGAAAGACCAGAGCAGGCCAAAAGCCTGGAAGACGTGCTCAGATTCCTTAACAATGTCTTGCTACAGCAGGTGTGTGTGTGTGTGTGTGTGTGTGTGTGTGTCTGTGTGTGTGTGTCTGTGTGTGTGTGTCTGTGTGTGTGTGTGTGTGTGTCTGTGTGTGTGCGTAGTGATATCTGTCAGTGAAGCTGGACTGTGCCCTGAGTTCTCAAATCCTGGCCTCATCTCCAACTTTGCCCCATGGCTACATGCCCAAACAGGAGGGACAGCTGGATAGACTCTGCTTCTACAGAACTGAAAGGAAATCTTTATTAATTTCTAGACCAGTAAGACAGCTGGAAAATACCCTCAACAAAAATGAACACTCCTAGCCTCAGACAAAAGTCTTCTTATCTTCAGCATGTGGGGCAGAGGAGAGGGTTGCAGGGAGACACCCACACTTCTAAGAAGTGGTTGGGTTTTGTTTCTTTACGGCTTCCTCTTAGAAAGAAAAGGAGGACTTAAAAAAAAACATTCAGACTGAGAGGCAATTGTGTTTTCTTTCCTCCTTCGAAGATGACACAGTCTGTGAGGCCAGCCAGGGTCCAAATCTTAGTTCAGCCACTTACTAGTTGTGTGACTCTAAAAAAGTCCACTATGTTTTCTGAGCCAAGGTCTCTCATTTGGAAATGAGAATAGTTGGTACATAAAAATGCTCAGTAAGTAGCAACATGTATTGTTATTTTTCTTGAGTCATGTCTGGATCTAAGGCACTGACTGTTTTGCCCAGGAATTGCAGGGGAAAGCTCAGGTTCTGATCCACTGCTCCAGGGCTCATGAGAGTCTCATCTCATCACTGGCTAGAACCCTAAACCCATCAGGCTCACCATCCCAGACAGTGCTAGCAGAGCCAGGCCTGGATGATGAAGACCTCAAGGGCCTCTTACATCAAGAAATGGCTTCACGGACAGGATAAAAGAAGGGGCTCTGGGGCTGGCTTCTGAATTTGCATCTTGGCTCTGCCACTTATAAGTTGTATAACAGAAGAAAAGTTACTTGCCCCTCTGTGTCTGAGTGTCCTCGTCTGTCACATGGCTGTGACCAGGGTTGCAATGGGGATTAAATGAGTCAGTACAGGAAGGTACTCCGAACGATGCCTGGCTCATAGTAAGTGCTAAGTGTTGGCTTTTATCAGTGGCTCAGGTGTTCATCAGGAACAATGAGAAGTACAAGGCTCAGCCTGTGAGTTGACCTGTAACCCCAATCCACCTGATTCTATAATGATTGCTTACAGAATTGCCTGCATCTCCCATGATGCAGTTCCATGAGAGCAGGGATATCTTCTGTCCTGTTTATACCTCTATCAAGTCAATTACCATAGCTATTAACTAAAGTCAATTACCATAGCTATTAACTATGAATGGTTAGACCAAAAAAACAATTCAAACTTATTCCTGTCCAATCAAACCATTTTTTAAAGCCTCTACCACCACCCTATATCAAATGGCCTGTCCATTTAGTTGAAAAAATGGTTGTCTAGAAAGAACAGTATCTACCACTTTGCTGCAGAAAAGTCTTTCCTTTCCCAAAGTTGTCAGGGTTACCACAACACACTCACATGAAAATAACCCTGCTAACACAACTTAATGGACAGGGTCTGGCTGGGGTAACACAAAGAGTTAAGATTGTTAAATACTTTCAGTCTCTTTCCCTGTGCTTCAGTTTGGTTGATTTCTATTGACCTGCCTTTAAGTTCCCTGATCCTCTCTTCCATTGTGACTAATAGGCTGTTAATCCCCTCCAGTGAATGTTTGTTTTAGTTCAGATAATACATTTTTCAGTGCTAGGATTTCCATTTTGTTCCTTTTTTTTTTTTTAATACTTTCCAAATCTCTCCTAAAGTTTTTTTTCTTTCTTTAAATTATTTTACTTTAAGTTCCAGGATACACCTACAGAACATGCATGTTTGTTACATAGGAATACATGTGCTACGGTGGTTTGCTGCACCTATCTACCTGTCATCTAGGTTTTAAGCCCTACATGCATTAGACATTTGTCCTGATGTTCTCCCTCCCCTCACTCCTCATCCCCCAGCAGGCCCTGGTGTGTGTTATTTCCCTCCTAGTGTCCATGTATTCACATTGTTCAGCTGCCACTTATGAGTGAGAACATGCAGTGTTTAGTTTTCTGTTCCTGCGTTAGTTTGCTGACAGGATGATGGCTTCCAGCTTCATCCATGTCATCCATGTCCCTGCAAAGGACACGATCCCATTCCTTTTTATGGATGCATAATATTCCATGGTGTATTATGTACCACATTTTCTTTATCCAGTATATCACTGATGGGAATCTGGGTTGGTTCCATGTCTTTGCTATTGTAAATAGTGCTGCAATAAACATAAAATGTGCATGTGTCTCTGTAGTAGAATAATTTATATTCCTTTGGGTATATACCCAGTAATGGATTTGCTGGCTCAAATGGTATTTCTGATTCTATACCCTTGAGGAATCACCACACTGTCTTCCATAATGGTTGAACAAATTTACATTCCCACCAGCAGAACAGTGTAAAAACGTTCCTATTTCTCCGCAGTCTCACCAGCATCTGTGATTTCTTGACATTTTAATAATCACCATTCTGACTGGCATGCTTTGAGTTATATTTCTCTATAATCAGTGATGTTGAGCTTTTTTTCATATGTTTGTTGTCCACATAAATGTCTTCTTTTTTGTTTATTTGTTTTGAGACAGTGTCTTGCTCTGTTTCCCAGGCTGGAGTGCAGTGGCACAATCTCTCAGCTCACTGCAACCTCTGCCTCCTGGGTTCAAACAGTTCTCCTTCCTCAGCCTCCCAAGTAACTGTGGTGGTGGGTGCCACCATACCTGGCTAATTTCCATATTTTTAGTAGATACAGGTGTTGGCTAGGCTGGTGATGAACTCCTGACTTCAAGAGATCCACCATCCTCAGCATCCTAAAGTGCTGGGATTACAGGCATGAACCACCACGCCCAGCCACAAATGTCTTCTTTTGAGAACTGTCTGTTCATATCTTTTGCCCACTTTTTGATGGGGTTGTTTGCTTTTTCTTGTAAATTCATAGAAGTTCCTTGTAGATTCTGGATAATAGACCTTTGCCAGATGAGTAGATTGCAAAACTTTTCTCCTATTCTTTATGTTGCCTATTTGTTCTGATGATAATTTCTTTTGCTGTGCAGAAGCTTTTTAGTTTAATTAGGTCCCATTTGTGAATTTTAGCTTTTGTTCCAATTGCTTTTGGCATTTTCATCATTAAGTCTTTGCCCATGCCTATGTCCTGAATGGTGTTGCCTATTTTTTTTTAGGGTTTTTATAGTTTTGGACTTTACATTAAGTCTTTAACCCACCTTGAGTTAACTTTTGTATAAGGTGTAAGGAAGGGGTCCAGTTTCCATTTTCTGCATACGGCTAGCCAGTTTTTTCAGCACCATTTATTAAATAGGGAATCCTTTCCTTATTGCTTGTTTTTGTCAGGTTTGTCAGAGATCCAATGATTATAGATGTTTGGTGTTATTTCTAAAGTCTCTGTTCTGTTCCATTGGTCAATATGTCTGTTTTGGCACCAATACCATGTTGGTTACTGTAGCCTTGTAGTATAGTTTGAAGCCCAGTAGTGTGATGCCTCCAGCTTTGTTCTTTTTGCTTAGGATTGTTTTGGCTAAATGGGTTCTTTTTTGGTTCCATATGACATTTAAATGACATTCTAATTCTGTGAAGAATGTCAGTGGTAGTTTTATAGGAACAGCACTGGATCTGTAAATTACTTTGGGCAGTATGGCCATTTTCACAATATTGATTCTTCCTATCCATATGGATGGAATGTTTTTCCATATGTTTGTGTCCTCTCTTATTTCCTTGAGCAGTGGTTTATAGTTCTCCTTGAAGAGGTCTTTTACATCCCTTGTTAGCTGTATTCCTAGGTATTTTATTCTCTTTGTAGCAATTGTGAATGGGAGTTCATTCACAATTTGACTCTGCTGATCTGTTGTTGGTGTATAGGAATGTTTGTAATTTTTGCTCATTGATTTTGTTAATTTTTCATATTTTCATTCATTATATTTATCTTTTCCTGTCAATCTTTTACTGCATTTATTTTAAAGTTATATAAAAGTTTATTGTTTGGAAATTTTCATTTCATTATCCATGCTCTATTTCTTTTGACTGGTTGCTCTCTTGAATGTAGATCTTATTTTCTTGCTTCTTCACAACAGGAGATCTATTGTTTCTTTTGATTGGAAACATCCTCTCCTCTATTAGGCTGGTGGGAGAAATGATCAGGGATGAATCAGTTTGACCCAATCAAGAATTAAGCTGATCTCGGGAAGAACTGAAGCTATAACCTCACCAGAAAAGTCTTGAAATTCAAACCCCATAGACCTAAGGAAATCTCTCTTTGATTTTCATCTCCTTCTTCCCCCAGCTTCCTGCAACCCCATGACTACAAGAATGAGGAGCTGTGAGCCTGTGAGATAGCGAGACGTTGAGAAGCAGGCTTGTGAAGCTGAAAGGTGATAATATCCCAAAATCTTCTGCTTCATAGCCTCATTCCAGCCTCTGCATGCACAGCCAAATTCCATTTAAGAAAATACTTGCCAGAGATGATTGTCTTTGCTTTGGGGTCTCCTCTAGATTTAAGTTCAACTGGTCAGCCCATAGATTCCAAAATTTTCCTGGCTCCTCCTCCTCCTCCTCCTCTAGTAGCCCCTTTCCTGTACCTGCCCTGCCCTCAACCTTAGCAGCTGCCTTCAAGTATGAAGCATTCTGAATCTCTTGCTCACCCTGGAAGAAATCACCCCTCTGGAGTTCAGATTCTTTTAGATTTCATATTTACAGAAATATTATGACTTTAATGAAAATTGTTATTTTAATTTATTAACCAAAGATATCTAGTGATTTATTATTGTTTGAGCAGGTGGGAAGGTCTTTCATGTCCTTCTATATCTTCACCAGAACCTGAGCTATGATTGATGAGGTCTTTAACAACATAAAATTCTCTACAAAGATTTAAACACTAATTCTCTGGGGTCAAACAGCTTCAGCACATAAAATATAAAACACTATTTGCCATGCAATACTTTGCCTAGGGAAGACTACCTCCTTGTGTCCAGTGCGTATTCTTTAACCTTAAGGACTTATCTTTTATCTTTCTTCTCTGGCCCTATATTGATTTCTTCCCCTGCCCCCCCCCCCCCACAAATAATAAGAAACAAATAGAGCTCATTTCATGGCTCTTGTTTATAAAAATAGCATCCACGATTTACTGAGCACTTACTATATACCAGACCCCATATTAAGGGATTTATAGACAGTTCTTCACTTAATATTCATAAAAACTCTGAGGGCCACTATTGGGATTCCAACTTTGTAAATGAGGAAACTGAGATTTACAAAGATTGGGGTAACGTTGACCAAAGTCAGGAAAGGAATAGAGATTCAAATCCAAGCCCAGGCTGCTAACTGCCACCTAATACTAACCCCAATCTGAATTGACCGGGGCATTGTTCTTTTTGGAAGCATCAGGACACAAAATGCTGGAGTGAGATGAGGCAGCTTTCAGTGACTCCACCCTAGGTGATTCCTCAGTTCCCCTGGTGGGCAGCCCCGAAAGTCAGTAACACACAGCTTTGTAAGCCTTCTCCCCACTCCCCTTAAGTTTGCTCTTAATCATTCCTGCTTATAGCTCAGGAATCAGCCTGTGCAAATCCTCTTCCTCTCTGATAACTCTTGCCCTACAAACAGTTTTGGGCATGGCTTATGGCCAGTTCCTCTGTTCCTCTGCCTCTATCCAAAATATGACTAAGAAGATAAATGTATTAAGAACCTATAATCTCTCCCCATAAATCCTCTCATCTGGGTTGCTTTCCTAACCTCCTTAGATGCCCAATATCCTCCAGGGACTGAAAGGCTGGTATCACTGCCATGCCAGTGAGAAGTGTGGCATTCTGGGTCGCTCTTGGGCCCTCCTGCTGCTCATCTTTTTTGATAGCCAAGGAACTCAGCCTATGACAAAGCTAAACCGACACCACTCTGGTGGTCAGCAGTGGAAGTCAGCAGAGTGGTTCCACTTCAGAACTCAACTTTTGAGTTTAAGAAACCCTAAGAGGAAACCTTGGTTTAGACTTTGGAGATCAGCATCTCTAATAGCCAGCACTCAAATCGCAGTTCCTAAATACGGTTTCCCACTATAAGAAACCAGAATGCATGGAGAAATAGCTCATTCAAGACCTGGGCATAGAAAATCATGGTGAACTGGAAACATTTGAGGGGTAGGGGTAGAATGTAAATAAATGCTCAAGGAGCAATGAGGTGCAGCCAGCTTGAAGGGCCAAATCTGAGATGATCTAAGCATCAAAAGAAAAATTATAACACTATGAAAAGGAAAAAAATTAAAATTTATGAGTCTCATAGTACAGAAAAAGAGAGAGAGCCAGATGTTGGAGAATGATAAAAAACTGGCGAATTCCGGTAAGGAGCATGTGGATGTATACTATTATTTCATTTCTCTGTAGAATTGAAGTTTTTACATTAGAAAGTAGAGAAAGGTAGAAAGAACGGTTCTTTTTAATTAATGGCAGTAAAGTGCCACTAGCTCCTAGTCTGGATATTCTGAGATTACTAAACCCATCTTTCTTGGGCAGAAAGATGTGAATGAGTTCTCTCCTGGGCTCAATAGACTCAGGCCATTTGCCTATTCTCCTGGATAATACAACCTGCCAATGGTTATGCATGAATCAATTGCGTAATAAATTTAAGGTTGTCATTAGTTAGGTTAATATCACAAACATTGTCAAGAACAGTAAGCAAATAAAGGTGCTACTGCATCTGTTCGATGCCAGATGCTCTCTAACTCACACATAAAACAGATCCTTCTGGCACTTGCCTGCCACTCCTCCCTCCTTCTAAGGTTCTGTACGGTACTCAGGAAAAAAAATGCCCAGGCACTTCAGAGACTCTCAGTAGGAAGCGCCTTCAGCATAACGTTGTCTGAAAGGATCGCTTGGGCGCCATCTAGTGGGAAAATGTTTGCACTGCCATGGGGCTCCCGAGCTGTGTCCCAGTCATACACAGGCCACCCTTAATACAGACAGGCAGCATAATGCCCAGCACTAGGCAGGCATTAAACAAAGAGTGAAATGAATTACTTCTTCCTAGGTATTCCCTGCACATTTATTTAGTTCAGTATAAGGCGGAGGTGATAAGAACCTAATAACATCATATGGATGTCTTCTTATGGTCAAGCCCTGTTTTCACAGACGGATTGTAAACTCATTGCAGAATCACTGTATTCCCTGGACCAGCCCAGTGCTCCATAAGAAATGCTCTATCAGTGCTTAGGGCAGTGGTAACATACACTGTGTGGAAAGAGACTTTCAGAACAAGCGTAATGGAATTGAACAAGCACAATTGAACCAACACAGAATCAGATAGGAACTTGACCATTAGTTTGTTTTTTAAATTTCAGAGCACTGACCACATTCCATTCTTTTTAACTTAAAAAAGTTCCCCTCTCTAAAGCACAAGCTCTAAGATGTCAGGGACCAGGTTCGTCTTGCTTATTATTGTATATCCAGCACCTAGAAGCATCCATTCAAGGAATAACTTTTGGCTGGAAGGGGTAGATTAATGAATGAAGGCATCAGCTCTCTGTTCTTCTTGCCTATGTGGTAGACTGGTTGCTTTGAGTCAGCTCTGCTGTCCTTGACAAAACCTGGACCCTCACATGGACACGATCACCAGCCCAACCAATGAGGCTCCATAAACAGCCTCTTACACCAAGGTGCAACCCAAGACTCAACAGTAGGTGCTGTTTAAAAAGACACATGCTCAGGATTTCTGAATTTTAATATTTTCCATTTCATAATGTTTGGGTGACTGCTATTCATCTGTTTTGTTACCATTTGCTTTATTGACCTCCTGCATGCAAATATTCTTTCCTTTCTGTCTCCTGAACAAACCCACTTACTCACATGGAGTGATTAGAGTATTGTTTAGAGATATTCGTCCAGCCCTGCTTCCTTCTTCCCTGCTTCACTGATTGGGAACTTAGCCATGTGACTTCTTATGGCCAGTGGAATGTGGGTGAGTGTAATGTCTGCAGAGGCCTTAAGTACACCTGTGTGTTTGGCCTGGCCTCTTGTGCTTCTGTGGCCCACCCTGAGAAGAGCATGGCCTGATGGCTGCTGTCCCTTCAGCCTGGGCCCTGCAGCCTGCAGCACAGCCCAGGCCAGCCCAGTTGAAATCAGCAGAACCCCTGCCAACTCACAGACCCATGAGACAGAAAAACAAACATTTGTCCTTTGAGATTGTTAAACAGAAAAAGAAAAACTGAACACTTTATCACCACCACCCCCTGAAAGCTTCAATTTAGAAACTCTACTCTCCGACCATAATACCCTTTCCACCTACATGTTCCCTTACGTTATTACTACCAAGCCTGCTTTTCCACTTAAAACCTCCTGTACCTATTCCCCCTCTACCCTAACCCTAACCCTAACCCTAACCCTAAGGACATGGTTTCATGTCCTTCCCAACCAGGGTCCCTGGTCAGTCACATCTTAGCCTATTCTTGGATCAACAAAACAATTGGTTTTACTCACTTCCGCTACTGCACTTCTGGAGAGCATCAGCCAACATCGTAACTGGCTGCAGCACCTCCGTAAGTGCTCCGTCTTCAACTGGCTCCTCTGTCTTGCTTGGACATGCTTTAAGCTTAACACCAGCTAGTGCCTTTTCTTGTTCCTCAAGTGGCTGCCCCAAACCTTTGGTACTTTCAAGCCCCAGCCTCACTTCTACTCTCTTCTCAGCAGAGATTTCATTCCCTACTTCCCAGAAAAAACAGGGGAACTCACCAGCGGGAGGCAGGCTAGGACTGTGGTTAAGAACAAGAGTAAGGGGTCTGGAATCGCCTGGGCTTTACCCCTAAGTGTATGACCTCAGGCAAGTTACTTCACACCTCTGAGCCTTAGTTTCATCGTCTATAAATGGGAGTATGTATTTTCATAGGGTGATTGTACAGATAAAACAAGACTTTGCACATAAAGTGCTCAGCACAGTTTCTACCATATAATTACTGAGAAACTGGGTATGCTACCTATAAATAACTTTCTCCCTCCTGTCTCAGCCTACCTCGGACAGAAAAGGAAACTCCCTCTCCTTTAACGCTCACTTTTGTTCTTGATTGCACAGAAGTTCTTCTCCTTCAGGATAACATGGTCTTAACTTTTTCAACTATTCTGACTTAAGTATCTTGAGTCTCTCCTACTGACACATTCCTCACATTAGCTTAAAACCTATTTAACTCTTTCCCATCTTTTGTTTGTTTGTTTTAAAGAGACAGAGATGAGGCCCTGCTCCGTTGCTCAGGCTGGAATGCAGTGGTGCAACCATAGCTCACTGCTGCTTCAAAATCCTTTGCTGCAGAAGTAATCCTCCCTCCTCAATCTCTTGAGTAGCTAGAACTACAGGCATTCACCACCCTGCCTGGCTAAAGTTTCTTAACATTGTGTACAGACGGTATCTTGTTTCGTTGATCAGCCTGGCCTTGAATTCTTGTCCTCAAGTGATCTGACTGCCTCATCTTCCCAAAGTGCTGGGATTACAGGTATGAGCCACTGCACCTGGCCTTCCCCATCTTCACTGGCATTTTTCCACAGCTCTTTATTTCTCACATAAACTATCACCTTGATTCTCCCCTTCCTTGCCTGATTAAGCTTATTTAAAAGTTGTCTGTATTCTGTATCTCCACTTTTCCCTTTTAAATCTTGCCTTTTTTTTTTCTTTAAACAGTATCTCTCTCTGCCCAGGACAGAGTGCAGTGGTGTGGCTAATTTTTGTATTGTTTGTAAAGACGGGGTTTTGTCGTGTTGCTCAGGCTGGTCTCGAACTTCTGAGCTCAAGCGATCCACCTGTCTTGGTCTCCCAAAGTGCTGAACTTTCAGGCATGAGCCACTGCACTCCACCAAATCTTTATATGAAACTGCTATTGCTCGGGTTACCAATCACATGCTAGCCATCAAGTACAAAAGCCTCTTTACTGCCTCCATCCTATGTGAACTTTCTGACTTATTTTGAAACACTGCCCCCAGCTTCCAGAACCCTACTCCTTCCTGGTTTTCCTCCCATCTCTCTATCTTTTCCTGTCTCCTTCCTGGTCTTCTCATCCTTTCCTTTTACATCTGTTGCTATTTCCTCTGTCCATGGTGCTCTGTTCAACTCATTCTTCCACCTATAACAGCCATATGCATATTTCAAGTCTCCAAAATTCTCTCGAGCTCCACAAATCTATTTTCTACTGTCTACAGGGTCTCTTATAGACGTCCAAATTCCAACATATTTCAGTTGGAACTCACCTTCTTTCCCCACCAAACCTTTTTCCTTTATCATTCACTTAACAGCATCAACTTCTAGAGAGTTGATCAAACTAAGAATTTGAAAGGCAAATTCTCGAGACTCCTCACTGCTGCCTTCAGCGAGTCTTGAGTCCTGTCACTTTCCTTCAAAGCTCTTCTCACTCTAGTCTCCCTTCTTCATCCACTGAACCACTGCGATCGCACTCCTGATGGCGACCTTTGGATATGGTCTTCCTCCACTCCAGTGGAGTTGTGCTACAACAGTTATCTGTCAAATGGTACTCCCTGATTAAGCCATCCATCATTCCAGAACCATGTCCAAGGTCTGAGCCCTGGCACACTTCACAGTCAGAGCTTGCCACCCCTAACACCACCACCTTGCTGTAATCACACCTGATCTCACATGCTTCCCTGAACACACCTTGCATTTTCACACCTTGACCATCCTATCCCCCTGCCTGAAATATCTTCCTGTTTTGCCAGCATATGAGCAAAGGCACAGCTTGATCTTCACCTCCTGTCTGAACCTCCTCTCCCTGTGATTAACTGTTTTCTTACCTAGTTCTCAGAGCACTTGGCCCATCCCCTACTTCACCACTCTTCCTTGGCCCCCACTGCACTTGGAATAGCATCTAAATTCCTTACCTAGCGTACCTTCCTACAAGGCTGTATTAGTCTGTTCTCACACTGCTAATAAAGACGTACCTGAGACTGGGTAATTTGTAAAGGGAAGAAGTTTGATGGATTCATAATTCCACATGGCTGGTAAAGCCTCACAATCATGGTGGAAGGCAAAGGAGAAGCAAAGCCGTGTCTTACATGGCAGCAGGCGAGGGAGTTTATACAGGGGAACTCCTGTTTATTTGTAAAACCATCGGATCTCGTGAGACTTTTTCAATACTATGAGAATAGTATGGGGGAAACCACCCCTACGATTCAATCATCTCCACCTGGCTCCACCTTTGACACGTGAATTATTACAATTCAAGGTGAGATTTGAGTGTCAAACCACATCAAAGGCCATGCGTGATCACACCCCTGCCTACCACTCCAACCCCATCAAATCCCTCTTCTTTCCTTCTCATGTGCACAAAGAGCAACCTTCCACATGATCCAGAGGAGGGAAAACCCAAAGTGATCTTATATAATCCAGAGATCAATGTGAAATCTAAAGCTGAGCACTACAGCTCTAATTATGACTATCTTAAACTATTATTGAAAGTAGTTTTATCAAGCATGGTGGCATGTGTCTGTAGCTCCCAATACTTGAGAGGTTGAGCAGGAGGATTGGTTGAGCCCAGGAATTTGAGGCCAGCCTGGGCAATACAGTAGGACCCCATCTCAGAAGAAAGGAAAATAAAGGAAAGGAAGAAGAGTAGTTATGTTTCTGAATCACCTACCCATTCAGCAATGAAGGAGCATATAGGATAATAATGATATATTTGTTACATTAATTGAGGTTTTACTCTTGTTAGAGCATTAAATGCTTCACATACCTCACCTCATTTAATCCTCAAGTCAACCTTGTGAGATAGGTAGCATAATTATCACTTCTTAAAATAAAAAAAAAAATAGCTGGGCATCAGCTACTTGGGAGTCTGAGGCAGGAGAATTGCTTGAACCCAGGAGGTGGAGATTGCAGTAAGCCGAGATCACATCACTGCACTACAGCCTGGGTGACAGCATGAGACTTCATCTCAGGGGGAAAAAAAGGACACGGATATTAGCAAGTTAGATGACTTGTCCAAGGTCACGCTGGTGGTGATAGACAAAAACATTATTTAAACCCAGGTCTGTTTCATTCTGGAGCTTGTATTATGCTCATTATATGAAACAGTCTCCACAGAACAGCTGCCAAAGAAGACCAGGGTTAAATCTTGCAGCTAACCTACCCAGACCATAATCTGCCAGGTGCTGAATTGAATTTACTAGAATCCACCTAAAATGGCATCGAAGTTTTAAATCTGCAACCAAGACCAACACTTTAAAAAGTATCTGTATTATAAATAACTGAACTCCCCAGTTCGCCTGGAAGTGCCAACGAACCCCCTCTCCTCCTGATACAGTTGAGTTTCTCAGCTGCAGGCTGTATACCTCATCCTTAGCCATAGGATCTTGAAACTGATGGTATTTCAGTACAGATTGTATCAGTGAAATACACAAACCTCACTTCATCCTCCATCTCTGTAAACTGGAAATATCATTCATAGGAGTAAAATTTGACTGTAAGACCATTCTAACTGCTTCCAATTCAAGTAGGAAGCATATCAAATAAGTTAGTGAAGTCACAGCAATTTGTACATTGCTCCAGATAGACTGTTAGAGCGACATTCATCAATCAGGGCACTGCAGAGAGGAATCTTGGACTGAACGAGAGATTAGATTTCCACTCCATTTTCAAAGAATTGTTGAAACTCACAGAACTCTAATAAAAACGAAGTAATTCTTTCAGCTCAAGCAGATCCCAAAAAGAATTCCTTTCCTCAGACAAATGGCATGCTGGCAATTTGCTGTGGGTTCCAGGAATTTAATTCGGAATTCATGAAATTTACCAACAGAAATTCGTATGTACAATGCACGACAGACAACATTTCTGAAGATGTGTTCACTGTTTGCTGACCAAGGCTACCATGCAATTGCTTCGGAAATGGATAGAGCAAAAAGCCTTGGCCTCACTTAGAAAGAGAGACTGAAGAATAGACATAAACCTCCTGTGGCCAAGAATTCAAACAAATGTTCACAATCCACACCTTACAGATGGAAACCCATGTTTGTTTTTCTAGTTTTACCTAGAAAGCCCTCTGGTTGCAGGCTTTCCAAAACTCAGATTCCAAGGAGATAAACATTGGTCTGTTATAAGCCGAGACTCAGACACTGTGCACTAGAGATGGAGCTAGGTCAAGGTCTACTTACGCATGCAGTCTCCTCCGTACCAGCCTGCTCGGCACTCTGCACAGTAGAACCCCTTCACATAGAAGTCATCCAGGGTACCCCCCCAAGAGCCATTTCGGCAGCTCTTGCAATTTTCAAAGATGGTACAACCTGAAACATTCCCAAGAAGAGGAGTGTTAGTCCAAAGCACATGCGGGTTCTGATCAGCTGCATGGGAGCACAACTGTGCCTTCTCGGGGCCCTGTCTCAACTAAGAGCATCTGGGTCTAGAAAGGTGTCAGAGTCCTGAGGCGGAACCTCTCATCTCAAGGAAACTGCAGAACTTCTTGCCTCAAGGTTGAGACCACCCTTCTAAACACCAGGGTTCAGGCTGGGGAGTTTAGAAGGGTGGTCTCAACCAGCTTTCCAAGTAGTGGCTGGTGTTTTAAAGTAACATGAAATTGCCTGCAGGAAAAGGAAGAATCTACCAATATAGATTATCTTGTATAAATTTGTTATGCATCTATTGTAGAATTTTTAGAAAATTTAGACCAGCAAAAAGAATTAAATTAAAAATATCTAAAACCCCACCATGCAGACTATTGCTAACAGTCTTTCTCTGCCTATATAGACATACATTTTTAAAATTAGACTTATACTACATATGGTACATTGTTTTTGTAACTTACTTTTGAACTTAATAATAGATAGTAAATATCTTCCTGTGCTATTACTCAGGCTCCCCCCGCCCCCACCAGCAGGCCACACCAGAGGGGTTTGTGTGATTCTCCAGCAAGGATCAGTTCAAACACATGGTCTCTTGAGGGAGTGGCGGTCATAAGAAAAAGTACAAATGATTCAATCCCACTTAACAAGACAGAGAACTAAGTTCTGGTTCTGCCATCGTGCAGCTCTGTGTCCTTGAGCAAATTGTTTAGGCTTTCTGTGACTCAGTGTCCTCATGTGTCAAACCAGGTGATATGATTTGGATCTGGGTCCCCATCCAAAGCTCATGTTGAAATGTAATCCCCAGTGTTGGAGGTGGGGCCCGGCAGGAGGCGACTGGATCATGGGAGTGGATCTCTTATGAATGGCTTAACACCATCCCCTTGGTACTTCCTTGCAGCAGTGAGTGAGTTCTCTTGAGATCTTGCTGTTTAAAAGTGTGTGGCACCTCCCTCTTCTCTTGTGCTCCTACTTTCACTCACACTTTGCCTTCCTCCATGAGTAAAAGCTGCCTGAGGCCTCCCTGGAAACAGATGCCACCATGCTTTCTGTACAGCCTGCAGAACCGTAAGCCAATTAAATCACTTTTCTTATAAATTATCCAGTCCCGGGTATTTCTTGATAGCAATGTGAGAATGGCCTGACACAGAGATTACACATTGTATCTACCTCTTAGGATTGTTTGCATTTTTAATTAAATTAACACAAGTAAAGTGCCTGCACATAGCAAGTATCTGTAATACGAAATACGAACTCTTATGCCTGCCATTGCAGATAGCATGCTCAATTTTAACTGCCTATTATCTGTTTTCCTATAATAGATTCAAATCAAGCACTGTATCTTGTCCAACATTGTCAAGAATCCACAGCACCTAACCTAATACAGTGGCTCCTGCATAGTAAGTGTTCAATAAACATTATTTGAGTGAATGAATGAAGGAAAAAGGAATGGCTAATCCAAGCTTCTGAACTTCCTAAGATAAACAGCGTTTCTTTGAGCTGATAGTATGTTTCTTTGCTTTTGGCTGAAATTAGGTATTACTTAGGCTGTAGTGTATATACATGTGGTTGCTGTAGAAGAGAGACTCATGACCCTCTCTTTCCACATCATCTTGACTTTGCTTCCCTTCTTCCAATGTCTTCTTCTATTAGAGAACATGAGTTGTAATACAGTTGGCCCTCCGTTATTACAGGTTTACATCCATGGATTCAACTAACCATGGCTAAAAAATACATTATTCACAGAATGCAGAGCCCCGGAGTTCCATAAGGCCAACTGAGGGACTTAAGCATATGTGGATCTGGGTATCTGCAGGGATTGCGGAAACAGTCCCTCATGGATATTGAGTTATGACTATGTGATTTGTCAAATTCCAGTAGTCATGTGACCCATAACTGGGTCCCTGCAGGGTCACTGTGCCTTCCAAAGACTATCTTCACTCACATGCCAATTCCCCCTCTTTAACTCCCTATCTCATCACCACTAAGGAGGCAAATGGACTGAGTCTGCCCTCAGCAGCTATATTAGCCTGTTCTCACACTGCTAATAAAGACATACTTGGGACTGGGTAATGTATAAAGGACAGTGGTTTAATTGACTCACAGTTCCACATGGTTGGAGAGGCCTCCAATGGTGGAAGGCAAATGAGGAACAAAGTCACATCTTACATGGTGGCAAGCAAGAGAGCATGTGCAGGGGAACTGTCCTTTATAAAACCATCAGATCTCATGAGACTTATTCACTATCACAGGAACAGCATGGGAAAGGCCTGCCACCATGATTCAATTACCTTCCACCAGGCCCCTTCCACAACCTGTGGGGATTATTCTAATTCAAGATGAGATGTGGGTGGAGACACAGAGCCAAACCATATCAGCAGCCCTGGCCAACTCTCTTTCTTAGCATAGTCACATCAGAGTCCTTAGATGTAAGCAAGATGAACAAGGCTATCCTAAAAAGACGCAAAAGACAGAAATAATAAATACCCAGGGTGATGGATACCCTAATACTCTGACTTAATCATTACACATTCTATGCAAGTAACAAGATATCACTGGCACCCCATAAACATGTACAAATATTATATATCAGTCAAAAAGGAAAAATACGCTAAATAGTTCACAAAGTTGCTAGAAGGGCCAGGGGACCAAATGCAGAGCTGTACAGACTCGAACTACAGGAAACCACATTGACCCAGTGAGGACCCTGGTGCTGCCAGATGCTACTAGAAGTCACCATTGACATTCCTGTCATTGGTGTCTCTGGATCCTGATCCTCCTTCTCCACTGCCAGAACAGGGAGAAGATCATTATCTATCATAATGACAGAAATGAAAACTGAAATCATCTGAGATCCCACCTATGAGTCTGGCAAACATCCAAAATGACACATTCTGTTGCAAGGCTTAGAGAAAACAGTACTCTAACGCACTGCAAGAAAACAATGCCAAATGGATGGAGAAAACATGGCAAAGCAGGGCTGGGAAGTGACATATGCACCCCGCTTTGACCCAGTGATCCCTCTTCTAAGAATCTACCTCGTAGATACAGTGCAAAAATACTAAGTGATATATGCCTAAGGGTAGTCTCTGCAGTATTGTTAACAGCTAAAGGGTGGGAGCAAACCAAATGTTCAAAACTGTGGTGATCCACACAATGCAGTTACACACAACCATACAAACAAATGAAGAACATGGTTTTATACTGACGTGGAGTGATCGCCAGCATATATTGGTAAGAGAAAAAAGCAAGACCAGGCACGAGGGTTCGTGCCTGTAATCCCAGCACTTAGGGAGGCTGAGTGAAGTGCCTGCTGAGGAAGGCAGATCACTTGAGCACAGGTGTTAGAGACAAGCCTGGGCAACATGAAGAAACTCCACCTCTACAGAAAATACAAAAATTGCTCAGGCATGGTAGCATATGCCTGTAGTCTCAGCTACTCAGGAGGCTGAGATGGGAGGATTACCTGAGCCTGGAAGGCAGAGGCTGCAGTGAGACATAATTGCGCCACTGCACTTCAGCCTGGGTGACAGCGTGAGACCCTGTCTCAAAAAATAATAATAATAAGAGAAAAAAGCAAGATGGTTAGCAATGCTTATGGTATGCTATCTTTTGTGTAGGAAGGGAAAAATATATATGAATATACAATTGCTTATATTTTCAAATATAGAAAACACATAAAAACAACAATCCTATTTGTTTACCAAATAGATGACATCACAAAACAGAGAAAGAAACTATATCAACTGATTTTAAAATGTAGTATTTTGAATGTACATATTGAGTGGGAAATAACAGAAGGTCAAAATCGCCACAAAGAAGTAATCACTAGAAGGTCTCATTTCATCCAAAGACACATTCATATCACTGGGACCATTTCCCAAAAGTCCAGCTCAGAAGCCAGAGCATCAGGCTTCACTCTGTTTGTCTCTTCCCTCTCCTGTCCCACCCAATAGATCTCCATACTCAGATCTCAAATCCCTCTACTTGTCTCCATCCATAGAGCTTCTACGTTTATTAAGGTCCCCGTTACTTCTCTCCTGCCTCTAGTCATGCCTGTCTTCCAATCCTTTCTCCGTACTACAGCTAAAGAGAAAAATCTGCTTTCCCTTCTTTACTAAAAGATTTCTAATGTTACCCACATATCTTTAGCATATAACCTAAACTTTGAAGCACAGCTTGCAGAGCACTTTAGGATCTGGCTCCTGTTCCTCCCTTCAGATCGCTCTCTCTTAATCTTTTCTCATTCTTTCATTCCCTCTTCCTCTCCCTCCCTCTCTCCATCTATCCAGGTCTCTCTTCATATACACACTTCTCCCGCCAGACTAAGCTATTTACATCTCCCAAAACCCCATGCTTCCTCTTGCCACAGGACCTGGGCACATGTTATCCGCTGTGGCTTGACTTCTTCTCCTTATCCCCCTCACCTTGTGTAGTCTGCTGCCCACCTTCTCTAACAAGTCTTCACTGACTTTCCTCCCACCTGCCACATTCCCATCCATGCTGCCATAGTACCCCATGCTTCTCTATCATAGCACTTAACTACACTGTATGGTAGCTGCCTGTCCTCCATATCCACCCTCCACCCCAGGCTATAAGCTCTGAGAATGCTGGAAGTGTGTATTTTGTTTTATCGTTGTATTCCCAGTACCTGATGTGGTACATAAAGCTGGTCAGTCTGCTTGTTAAATGAATGAGTGAATGAATGCAAAGCTTTACAAGTTAAACCCTGAAAAGAGTATGGACTCCTTTCATTCCTGTCCCTTTAGTTAGAATGAGCTGACTTGTGTCACTTTTCATAATCATGGCACTACAGCCTCCTGATGGCTGCCTGCTGGAATTCAGGCGTTCAGCCTGTTCCTGTTCATTACCTCCAACAACATGAAGGCAACCTGAAGCCTCCCATTCTACACTTACCTGGGTGTATCAGGCAGGAATCACACTCATTCTCCTCATTCCTGCAGCAAGGGATGGTATAACCCACGACTTCCTTCTTTCCAGGGCAGACACACTCAATCTGATCATATTCACAACACTCCCGACACATGATATTCCACTCAGCTCCAGGGCAGGCTTCATTAATGACTGTGTACTCTGAAATGGAAAACCAGCAGGTGAGGCTAGGTCCTGGTAGGGAGTGGAAAGACTCTTAAGTAATCTACTACTAAGAAGCAACCTTGCCCTATAAACACATTGCCCTGCCTAAATGATAGAGAAGACCCATGTGGATTCTTCCCAGGCTAATGTCTGCAAAGCAGGGAGACCTACCCCAAGGAGTATTTGAAACCATCTATTGGAGCATAGATGAAATTTGTTATAACTGCTGTTCATTTTTATTTTTATCTTCAAAAAAATAAATCACGTTTCATCAATATTTAATCTAGGTGAATTGGCAACAGAATATATACATATAATTTATAAACCAGCAGACATCTCTGAGGTGTCTACGCTGATTTATATTCTTGTTGGACTACATCAGGCCGCTGTTTATTGCTACATAGGTTGTGCACTGCACAGATCCATAGGGAGCCATTAAACTGCACAGCTACACAGTGCAGCCCAGGCGTATGGACCACCAGAAAGTTTAGAGACCAGTCTCCACACCAGGCCATTCAAGTACAAGGCCGATTGCCAAGTAGAGACTATCATTCCTTCCAAACTTGGCCCCTCAATTTTTCAGCATGCCATTTTCATAGTACCTTCGAAGCGAAAACTAACAGAAAAAACAAAAAGTACCTTAATTAGTATGTTTGGGAGAATTTCAGTGTTTTACAATGGTGAACTCATTAGCCCAACTTCATTCAGGCGCCTAGTGCAACTGAGTGTTCTTTCCCATAAGAAAAAAGCATCCCTTTCTGGGCAAGATTTTTTCTTTCTCATTTTCTTTTTTTTATATATCCCTTCAGTAAAAACAAAAACCATCTGGCAAAATCTACAAGAAGAATCAGTCAGAGGCTGCCCAGAAGAACTCAGGCTAAGAAACAGACCTGCTAGTTTTGATTTACTCTTCATTTTCCCCACTGTCCATTTCTAAGAATTTTGCACAAAGATGACAATTACAGCTAAAACAGATTAGATATTTGAAGAAGTGAATCTGGACGAGATCTCCACAAAACCTCCCCAAGAAACTTCAGGCAGGAAATTTCACCAGCATGCTTTGTAGGCCCACATAAATGAACTCTAGCACCCATAGTGGCTTCTAAACCCTTGAATTTTATAGTTTCCTCCCCAAATTAGGAAGCGTGACACAGGGTTGATCACTCTCAGTTTTCCAAGTACAGCTATTTAAAGAAACTATCATCATCTACTCTTAGCCTCAGGTCATAAGAACATGCTAATGTCATAAAAGGCAGCCACTTGCACAATGATGGACAGTTATTTAAATGGAATAAACTTCATTTTATGAAAATTTGACTTTTTAAATCATTTTTCCATAAACATTTGTGAACCAGAAAAGATCCTTACATCGGTATTTGGGAATAAATGGCTACATCTTCATAGCATAATCCCCAGTGAGGATTATTTCCACCACTACTATCTGAGCCCCTTCCGGGAGACCACTGTGACTTACTTAGCTGCACTTCCCATTTTTCTGATGTTTTGCTGACAAAACGAATGACTTCTAGAATCTGGGTGATAATTTAAAGGTTAAAAGTAAGAAACAGCAGAAGGAAACATAGGAGTAAATCTCTATCCATGATGTTGAATTTGGCAATGGATTCTTAGATATGACACCAAAAGCACGAGCAACAAAATAAAAATGAATTAGACTTCATTAAAATTAAAAATGTTTGGGAAGCAAAGGACATTATCAGATAAGAGAAAAGACAATTCATAAAATAGGATACAATATCAGAAAATATTTCTGATAAAGGCTTGATATCCAGGACATATTTCTTTTTTTTTTTTTTTTTTTTTTTTGAGACGGAGTTTCACTCTTGTTACCCAGGCTGGAGTGAACCTCTCGGCTCACCGCAACCTCCGCCTCCTGGTTTCAGGCAATTCTCCTGCCTCAGCCTCCCGAGTAGCTGAGATTATAAGCATGCACCACCATGCCCAGCTAATTTTTTTGTATTTTTAGTAGAGACGGGGTTTCACCATGTTGACCAGGATGGTCTCGATCTCTTGGCCTCGTGATCCACCTGCCTCGGCCTCCCAAAGTGCTGGGATTACATCCAGGACATATTTCTAAACTCCTACAAATCAACCATAAAAAAGACAGACAACACAGTTTTTTAAGTGGGCAGATAACTTGAATAGACATTTCTCTAAAGAAGCTATATAAACGGCCAACAAGCACACGAAAAGATGTTTAACATCACGAGTCATTTGGGAAATGCAAATCAAAATCACGATGAGCTACCACTTACTAGAGTGGCTATGTTTCAAACCAAGGGAAAAAGTGGAAAACAAATGTTGGCAAAGAGGGAGAGAAATTGGAACCCTTGTACACTGCTGATAGAAATGTAAAATGGTGCAGCCCCTGTGGAAAACAGTTTGGCAGTTCCTCTAAAAGCTAAACAAAATTAGCACATGACCCAGCAATTACTCTTCTAGGTATAGATTTTAAAAATTGAAAACAGAAACTCAGAGATACTTGCATACCAATGTTCATTCACAATAGCCAAAAGGTGGAAACAACCTAATTTTCCATCAAGAGACAAATGAATAAACAGAATGAGGTATATGGGCTGAATGTGGTGGCTCACACCTGTAATCCCAACATTTTGGGAGGCCAAGGCAAGCAGATCACTTGAGGCCAGGAGTTTGAGACCAGCCTAGCCAACATGGTGAAACCTCATCTCAACTAAAAATACAAAAAATTAGACAGGAGTGGTGATGCACACCTGTAATCTCAGCTACTCAGGAGACTGAGGCATGAGATTCACTTGAACTTAGGGGACAGAGGTTGCAGTGAGCCAAGATAGTGCCATTGGAATCCAGCCTGGGCAACAGAGCAAGATTCTTGTCTCAAAATAATAATAATAAAGGTAATAATAATAAATACTATTAAAAATGAGGTACAAGCATACAATGGAATATTATTCAGCCATGAAAAGGAATGAAGAGCTGATATATGCTACAATATAAATGAACCTTGATATCATGTCAAGCGAAAGAAGTCAAACACAAAAGGACAAATATTGTCTGACTCTACTTAAATGCAATAGGCAACTTCATTGAGACAGAAAGTAGATTAAAGGTTATCAGGAGCTGCGGGAAAGCTGAATGGAGGTTGTTGCTTAATAGTTACAGAGTTTCTGTTTAGGGTGGTGAAGTAGATGGAGATGACGGTCTCACAATAACAGGAACCTAACGCCATGGAATTGTACACTTAACATGGCTAAAATAGCACATTTTCTTCGCCTTCTCTATCCTTCCACTCCTCTGATTATCTGCACTCTGCTTTAATTACTCCATAGCTCTCTCTCCCCTCATTGTACATTTGTATCTTCCTACAGGTAAAATGCTTTTGTGTGTCCATAAACCCTAAGGCCATGTTGACCACCCTGAATTTTTGGTAAATGGTGACTGATCAAGTAGATGTCAATGTCCTGATGTTTGTTACTGCACGACATTATAACGTTCAACTTCATCTTTCTCACTGCAAGTAAAAGATCTAAAAATTCTAACTCCATACAGCTTTCTTTTTTATATAGCTTCTTTTTCACATAGAAAAAAATCATATTTTCAAAGGCTGAGAGAATGAAGGGAAGCCATCCAGTTAGAACGAATGACACACCCAATATGGAAATAAACACAGGCCATATGCACAGGACAAAAATCAAGCTTGCCTGAAAGAAGCAAAGATTATGAATCCTGCATAAATTATTTTTTAGATCACATGCTCCTATCTGTGCCAACTTTTCCTAGTGGAATGTGTATTATTAATAATATGCTGTAGTTGCTAAATCCATGTGGTATATAGCCCGCTACTCAAGTTTTGGTATTTGCAATACCAACAAGGGGACACTTTATGTTATATATATATATATATATATATATAACCACACTTTTTTAATTGTGAAAAGTGGTGGAGGGAAAGTGAGAAGGAACAAATTGGTTAGAGGCTCAAACATGGTAGTCAACAGACCTGGGTTTGGAATCTCCCTCTGCTAGTCGCCTTGGCAAAGTTACATTAATCTCTCAGCCTCAGTTTAGCATCCAGTAAAATGAATACATTTTCTCCAGTTTAGGCCTGTTGAAAATACTAGACAAGATAATGCATAGAAACAGCTTAGCACAGCACCCAGAATGTACTAAACATTCAGAAACTAACAGCTTAAAAAGGAAAAAAGAAAAACGGTAGAGAATGTTCATATTTCTCAAGGATATTGTTTTTTATGCATGTCAGATCAATTTCTTGCTTAAAATGGTCGCTTTGCTTCCCATTGCTTTTGGAATTACCCTCAAATGCTCTGCCACAGCCCACGAGGCCTTTGAGGCCTATGCCCACTACACTCCATCCACCTTTTTCTGACCACTGTTTCTTACCTTCTCTCTGTTTCTCAAAACTACTAAGCTCTGGCCCACCTTGGGACTCCACATTCGCTTCTCCCAAGGCCTCTGACACAGGCCTTCATGTAAATGACACCTATTCAGAGGTCCTCCTTGGCCTTTCCCTCTGAAATGCACACCCCTTCTATCCCATCCAACGTTATCTCTGTCTCGGTATCTTATGTGTTTCATTTCCTTGTCCTTACCACAATTTATAACCATTTTCTGTTCTCATTTCCCTGCCAACTGTCTGCCTCCCTTACATACCCATAAGCTAACAGGAGTCACATCAAACTTGTTCACCACTGCCAGGGCGGGGCTGGCTGGCACACAGAGGTGCTGAAAAAGCAGCTATTGAATGAATTCAGCCTGAAATCCAGAACTACTCTTCCTTCAGAAGTCAAATATTTCCATCCAGTGGGTTCAGCTTGGAGCCATGAGCCAGGAGAGCCAACTTTGTATCTAACTTGTTGATACCAGAGCTGGGTGCCTTTCCTCCCATGGTGAGGTGTCTAGACATGGGGGTCCAGGGGACCTGCCTTTGGTCCATATACCTGGAACCCAGACCCCACCCTGTACAGATCTATGTTTGTTCT